GGTATAGATCATAAAACACAAAGAAAGACGACAAGTGTTATCGACAAGTGTCATGTAGTGCTATGAGTGAGCGCGAGATTAGTAATAGTAGAAACCCAGGATTAAAACTTGCGTTGTAATGTTTTTAAGTTTTATTATTTTTATTTTTTTAAGTATTTTTTTAAGTATTTATGTAATATATATATTTATGTGTAATATCATTTTATATATAATATATTTTATTTGCGTAGAAATAAATATTTAACATATATTTTTAGGTAGACACATACATACATGATACTTGTCTTTCTTTATGTTATATAACCTACACTATCGGTCGTTTTAAATTTCAAGCATAAAAAAATATTATTTAAAAGACGCGTTGGACAAAACTGTCAAACACTTCAATCAACTTACTTTCGATGTAAATTTGCCACGTGCGAGAAGATTAAAATCGGTGATTAGTCAACTGCGGTCTCTCCTTGTCAGTGATGTCAATTTTAAAACTCTACGCTGTAAATAATTGGCGTAAGTATTGCAAAACTTATTTAGTGATCTTTATGTATTATTGTTTAATGTTTCTTGCAATTTTATAATCACGGCCGTGAACTTATTTCTAACTCGCGAGATAATTAACAAAGATTAGGTACAAGTAAATTGCAACGTTATACAATATAATAGTAATCGTTTTTTATTTGTTATTTCTTCGTGTTATAAACTGATGTTTAATAAGACACTTTTATCTTTTTATCAAGGACAGACGTATCTCACTTCATACGTATATTAAATGCATTAGATTAGATCTTTAAGCTTTATAAAACTTTGATCATCACTTTGTTAAGTTTTTTGTTTTTATTCCTAAGAGCAATTCTATGATGACATTTAGCACTAAATTATATTGTAGAATACTTATCAACGTCAGTAATGTAACATGAACTCTGAAACGTTATTCATTAGTGTCAGTAAATGACGGAAGTTGATTAAATATTTTCTTTTTAATGTGCAAGTTATGGCAGTTCACGCGTGTTACCATGATAACGTGTACACCATGAAGTTTATTGATTACTTATCATTCTCTATTATATAAGATTAAGGAAACCTTGATATATGCGGTATAATTAGCAATGCAATATGTTAATTATAAATTTACATTGTTGTTAACCTTGTTTGGTGATTTAAAATGAATAAATTCTTCTAAAAAAGATGTCGGTTAAATAACATTTCTTCAGGGTCACCGATTAATCTCTTAACAGCGTCTCAGGAAAGATCATAATATTACTACACCTGCATGTTGAGTCATGATCGTCTCTCGATATATGTCAGCGACTTTGAACTTTTATATGAGATACGATTGACAAGTATATTCGAAAGAGACGCTTAGATAACGACGGTAACATTACATTGCTGTTGACAAGTTTCATTTTTCAGAAGAAAAAATTTTAAACGCTAATTTATTATCGCACATCATAGTGAGTTTGCGTGACAACTCGCCGAAATGTCGCCTTTGGTGATTTTTTGGTAATGCAGCAGTGCTCACATTTCAGTGGTCAAAATTTACGAGCTTTGAATTGATGCCTTGTCCGCTTTATTCGGTCTCTCCAATTTCCATTTATTTCTGAATCTGAAAAAAGAACGGCTCGATGAAATTTTCAACAACAAAATCATCGACGTCATAAATGGCCATTTTGAAGAGCTCGAGAAATCGTTCTGTCAAAGTGACGTAAGTGTTTCTCGAGAAAAGGCCATCGGTTAAAGTGTAATCGAGATAAAAAAATGACTATATTGAAAAATAAATACATTTCAATCCGATAAATTTTTGTTTTACTTTTTTGTTTCTGATACGTACTCATCAATTTCGTATAGTTTTTTTATACATACTCACCTTTCGTATCTTAAAATCTTCGTACCTTCTCTCTACAAATCTGTGATCGAAATACGGAAATTGTGAGAACGTTCATATTACTTGGATAAAACAAAAGTTAAACATTGAAGCAATCTCTTTTCAAATTAGTCTGGCACGCGTAAAAGTTTCTCGCTTTTTCTTCAAGCAACATAATGCGATAAGTTTAGATTGTGCTACTAAAACACATCAAAGTGTAAGTTTTAAATTACATGTTTCGTCAGTTGCATCTTGGTGATAGATATAGAAAAGCCTTGTGAAACACGCACAACCTACATTATCATATTGCAATTCCATTGTCGCAATAACGGTCAGTGTCGTGTGTAATAATCACGTGCCAACGACACTTTTGTACATTAGAACCGTGTCGCACATATTAATAATCGGATCACAGATTTTCACCTGGAAACGCGAGAAGAATACGTCTCTCGCACGTTCACAATGAATCTCATTATTGCGATCATTTGCTCTGCGATGTTATAGCAAACTTAACCGCTAATTAATTGCACTTTCGCGTGACATGTTATACAGCGCGGACATATATTTGCTTTTGTAACCGCGATAAAGTTTTGTCACTATCCTATTCCGAGGATGTGTGTGTGTGTGTTTTTGTGTGTGTGATTTATTTTACAGATCGCTGTGCAAATTGTTACGCATTGCGTAACGCACAGTTTGTACACGATAACACGGAGGAATAATTCTTGTCAAAGAAATAACTGGCGAGTCATAAAGAATCGCGATTGATCATTGGTTCGTTCCGTATATTTACTTGATCCAACATACAGTGTGTTGAAGTGTGTGAAAGTGTGTGGAAGTGATGACCTTTAATCACTGTTAACATATACGAGAGAACGAGAATTATTTATTTATAACGTTGGTCGCAAAACGAGCTTATAAAAACACGTGATTAAGTTTACACACGGCGAGCGCGCCGATTACGAAATCATTCGCATTTATTCGGATATCGTAGTCGCGACTCGCATAACTGCGCACGGGTGAAAGTGCACATTGTTCCCGGAGTGTAAATAAACCAAAACTCTCGGGCTCTCAGACCGGAATACATCCGTTTTTTTTTTTTGGTCGATTCTTTGCGCAACTTCTAACAGTCCGTTCGTATATATCTTTAAGTCGCAAAACCGGTTGGAGAATTCACGGACACCAAATAAAATTACCCGAAAAGATCATCCATCAAAAAAATCTGCCAACAATAAATATCTTCCTATTAATCTTCAGTTTTTTTTGTCTTCCTGTAAATCATCTTGATTTTTAAAAACAGATGGAATTGTTCGTCAGATGTTTATCGCAATTGTTAATTCCTGAACGAAAACGTAATTGTTTAAAAATAAATAAATTATAATTGTAAAGATATTAGATTATACAAATTTTGTACTTTATCATAAAGAAAGATTGCGATACTATTTCCGATGAGAAATATGTAAATCTTTTGAAAAATCGTTCTTGTGACACTTCTTTGTTTCTAAATTAATTCATCGGAAAGAAAAGTGTCGCTAGTGTCGCCTTAGTATTTATACGAGCACATAAATGTGACAGAAGTCATGTGTGCTATAAGTATTCTCAGAATTAAAAAAGTGTTCTGAAGTGTTCTGAGCAAAAAGAAAACAATATTATAGATAAAAACATAAAAAAAATAATATAAAAACTAATTTAAAAAAATAATATAAAAACTAATTAACACTAGATATACCAGCTATTTAATATCGTATATTACCATATATTTATTACCATATATTTTTTACCATATATTTGTTACGAATATATATAAAGTAACATTAAGTTCATAAAATGTATTCTCTACTTATAGCTACAAAAGTCATAACATCATTTCGAAAAGCAAATGTTACATGCAGTAGGAATTTTGAATTGAAATTGCACGACCAGTCAAAATGACTGGTCTGGTAAATCTAGTGTTAAAACATAAGAAAAAGACACACACACACACACAACATTTCTGTACAATAAAAAAATACACAGAGATATTTTCTGAAAACAATTGCCCGCACAAAACTGCGTCGCAAGAATATTCAAGAAGGCGCACTGTTGCATTTTGTACGTACCGCCAATCGCGTTACGGCCACATAGTTCTTCGTAAATGCAACTGTGCATCATCTGCGATTATGCTAATGACATATTCTTCTCTACTCATTCACGAGATTTCGAAATTAATAATTACTACAGATAATCGTTATCTCACGAGTATACTCACGTAATGACTTCTGTACGAATGACCGATCGTCATGTACGTGACACGAATGCCGATTAATCTGGAGGTCATAGATTAAGAAATCGACACACAACGATTTCCTCAATAAAATGCGACATTGAATCTAGTTCTTTTTTTTTTCAGCTCCGTGTTTATGCCTTTTTCTTTCTTTCTACAAAATATTTTCTTGAAGATACATATTTAAGAGAGTTTTTTACAATATTAAAACAATTATATAAACGAAAAAAAAGAGAGAGATCTTAACAAATTTGCATCGCACAATATGTGCGTCTGGCTGATAGCCGAAAACGAACGATTTCCTCGTATTTCTTTTGAAATTTGCTCACAACACACATTGCACAATTTGCATTTCTACTCAAAATGAAGAAGATTGACACAAACAGAACATTTATTTCTGATACGCGCGCTTTATCCTTACACGAGAATTGCAGCTCGGTTCACTGCTCCATATCTCGATAATGCATCCTGTCATCGGTGTAGCACGCGATAGAATATTTCCGGCTGCTGTTGTGCATCGACAGACATGCAAATTAGTCACGCTGTTTACATGTGATTCGATTTTTATACGACATATTTTATTTTCAATATTTTTTTTATAAGTGAATTTTTAAATCTTCTCTTGCTGCTCTTACACGAATGTTTTATTTCCTGAAAAACAAAACTGACGTAACAGAGATATTTTTCTTCTACGAAATGTAGTTGAAGTATATCTGTTAACATATTGTTTTTTGTCTTAAAAAGTTAATGTAGTCAAAGTATGTCTATTAATATTGTTTTTTGTAAAGTATAATATAAAGTAAGTCTGTTAATATTGTTTTTTGTAGATTGACGTAAATTGCGAGATTCTTTGAAATATAACTGATAAAGTACGCATACATATTAGTATGTTCTCTACCTCGAATAGATATATTGTGTAAATATGAGATATACATTTCCTCTCTGGAGAGGAAAGGCGAAGGACGTGTGAGAGAAGAGAAGGGATAATGCCAATCTGAAAATTTGGTAAACCTGACCTCAGTCAGATGTGAGCAATATAACATACAATCAGTCGAACGAATTTCCGGAACACATCAAAGTTTTATATTGCGTGTACAGCACACACATTATTTTGCAACGCTCATCACGACTGCGGATTCACAGATCAAAGTTCTCGAGATAATCAGTAATTAATCAATGTGTTTTGATCGCGTCTTTTTTTATTTCTCTAACCGAGACATAATTTTAGAATTTGTTCTTTGCTCGCAATGCTCTGACTCGAGTGTAAATGTGTATAATAAAGTGAATTGAGTGGATTTGCCACCAGGTTATTGCTCGTGTAATTGTGAAGCACCTTAATACATACGAGAAATGTGTAAAAATACAATTTTATATATATTACGACGGGAAATTTTTCGTCCGTTTTCTTCGCACCGCGATAAAATTTTCTGATGACGTACCATCATTCACTGGTAGTATTTTTCGAGAGTACGAAAAAGTAAGTACAGCACGGCCGCACGCGATCTCGCGAAACTTACTGTTGTATTATTGTACGAAAACTCTGAGAGTAGAGGAGACTGGGGCTGGTTGTGACACGGGTAAAAAGTTACAACCTTAAATTAGCGATGAAAAATAATTGCAACAACGATAATGTTACTTATGCGTGTGACGCGTGACAGTCGTCGCGTTTGTCTCTTTTTAACTTTAATGTAGCACTTATTTTTCATCAAAGTTTGTAACTTTTTACCCGTGTCACAATCAGCCTCAGTCTCCCCTACTTATATAGTTTTTTTTACAGGAAATTTAGCTTTTTTTCAATCCTACCAAAATATGACGCGTTATTAAGTTTCATAATTGATATTTGTTATAACTATGAGTGAACTAAAAATATGTAACATACAATATATACATACAATGTATGAAAATATTTATCCAAATAGTTTGTTCACGAATAATTGTTGTTGATAATTGGCAATGAATATAAATATTGAAAACGTAATTTTATAAATCGATCGAGATAAATAAATATTTCGAGCACAGGATCATTACCATGGCGTGAAAGTAATCGTGTATAAAACAAATCTGAGCTATCTCTTTCTCTCTCGTTCTACCTGACTCAATCGCGATCACTCGGCTTAGATAATTACATTATTACGGAGGAGATTATTTAGCTCTCTGTTTCTTAAAAAAAGATAAATACAAGTTGCTCAATTTCTTGTATTCTGTACATTGCGTGCAAATGTACATACGTGTCGATTCGCTTACATGGAGCTTTGAGTGGCATTTTACCTTACGTCTGCGCAGCAGAACGCGAACAGAACAGAAAGCTTCGTGTATTTGCAAGTTATCATTTTAACGTGCTAGATGTTGTATGAAATAATTTTACAGTGCAACTCGCAAGTACAACTCTTCTCGCAAAGATGAGAATCGAGCAACTCGGACTTCTTCTGTGGAAAAATTACATCATTCGAAAACGACAACCGGTAAGTTGTTTTGACACAAAAATTATACTTCAATTTGTTTATATACTTCCGTCTCTAATTTTATATAATTAGAAACAAACACTAGAATACATTTTATTGCTTTACTCTATTTTAGGGAATATTAGCCCTGGTTTTTTTATGGCCTATAGTGATTTTTATGATACTTTACACTGTGCGCGATAATGTCGAACCGGAATATTATCCGACATGTCAATTTCCCGCAAGATCGATGCCGCAGGATGGGCTTCTGCCTTTCGTGCAGAGTTACATATGTAGCGTCGGAAATCCCTGCGATCCGCTTGCGGAATACGAAGAAGTGCCTTCCTTTAAAAATGCCACGTTAGTTTTTCACCATTAAATCGTCACAATTTGACATTCATCGCGTACTTTCTTTGATATTATTGATGAAATTTCTTTTCTCTTCTCGACGAAAAATAGTTTAAGTCCCTTGGTCGTGGAATTACAACCGATAATCAACAACAAGACCATTATCTCCGCCGTGGAAACGTTGCCGCAGAGTATTCAGTTGTTAAAGTCAATGGCACAGATACTCACCAAACCGGAGATCAAGGCGCTTTTCGGTATGTTTATGAGCACGGATGCGCTCAAAATTTAATCTTAAAATTGATTATCGATTGTATGTGCAAATATGTTATTGCGATAGACAGGGGAATTCGCTTGGGCGACTTGTTCAACAATCATGAACAAATTAAGGATTTACTGAAATCGCAAATGCCTGAGGCGAGAGAAGGTTTGGTCGATGGTTTATTCGAGTCGTCCGTAAAGTTAATCTATGTAAGTGGCTACACGGTTGTTCGAATAGTTGCTTGTGTGTTAACAAGTAATTATTTGTTTTGTTGCTTGTAAAATGGGAAATAACTAAGAATTTTTATCGGTTTTTTTTTTTTTCACCGTGTAGTTGATCAAAACTTTTGGTTCGTCCAACATCGACGGCGTCGTATGCTCCGCGGACAGTCTAAAAAAATATTTGATTTTGCCTAAAGAAGAAGATTACGTCGAGATATCAAACGTTCTCTGTAGCATCGACTCGAAAGCGATCCCCGACATTTTGGAGAACCTTTCGAAGCATTTGGACTTCAGCGGTTTGCTGGAGATGGTCGATCGCGCGATGGCAAAATTTCGCGGTTACAACTTCTTCCTGGATCTGAAGCGAGCAATAGAAACTATCCTTGATCTCAAGACGCCCAAGAAGTACATACCCGAATACTTGAAGCTTCGCGAATGGCTGCCGAAGATGATTCTGGTCTTCCAGAATGTAACTTTCAAAGAAATTGACCTTGGCTTGTGAGTTTTAAATATGATATTTTTATTTTTTCCGCGGATCAGTTCTTTGAAATCCTCAATCCGGTTCTTTTGTAAAAAAAAAAAAGAAAAGAAAGATATTTGTGTGGCGAATACGATTTATTACTTTTCTCCGAATCAGTTTCTTTGTAATTCCTAATCCGGGTGTTTTGTAAAAAAGAAAAAAAAATAACTCGCGCAGCCTCGAGGAATATAAGTGTAGAGTTTTAATTTCAGCATGAATAAAGCCCTTGTGGTTTTGGATCCCATATTTGCATACGAAAGAGATTGGCCTGTTGCCCGTAGTGGATTCTTGAAATTAAATCGGCTTCTGAAGATGGTAAAAGAAATCGCAGATCATAGCAATCTCAATGACACGGACGATTTCTTCACCGTGATAGATCATTTGCGGGGAGCAATATCGAATTCGAATAATTACGAGAATATCACCCAGATATTGGATCTGTCGTTTTTGATCTTACAGGATGGCATCAAGCTCACTAACAAGCTGTTGGATCGTCACGTAGACGACTTTGAATTGCAAGTGTTTGCCTCTTACTTAGATAACAAGTGAACTCTAAAAAAAAAAAAAAAACTTTTTTCATATCGTATGCAGAAAAACAGCACGTAATCTTTATTTTTCAGAGCCGCTAACGTCTTCGACGGTCTAAAACATTTCTTTTCCGAGAATCTGGTGAACTCAATGACGTACATTGTATCACTCATTGATAACATTGTACAAATGACGCATCACGTTACCATTCTTCACGAGGATACTTTGACCAGGCTCTATGAAATTTCTAAACACCATCAAAGTTTAGTTCAAAAAATGCTGATACATTTGCCTCCCAACGTATACACGACGATTATTCGATCTTTGTCTCGACTAGATTTTGTGGAGGTTTGCTGTATTTTTGTTATACGGATTTTTTTTTTGGTCTTGTATCAAGCTGCTATGTTTTTTGAAAGCTAACAAGTTTTGAATTGAGTTTTGTGTGTTTTTAACGCAAGTCACACTTGTTTAGAATATATGATGTGATTTTTAGCGTTTGGTGAAGAATGTAAGTAAAACACATCCCGAAGAAGTGCTTTGTCGAACGGACACAATGAACGAGATGTTCAATAATTATATCGAGTTTAAAGACAAAGCTGGCGAAATTAATGAATTATTCTGCAGCGATGACGGGAAAAGATTTATCAAAGATATTTATGACAGCTTTGAGTTCGAAAAATTTGGAACAATTGTATGTACATACATACACATGATGACACACAATTGAGTACAAATCAATTACGAATACTCGCGTTTTAGTTTTACTAATAAATATAAATTTATAATTTTAGGTAAGTAAAACTTTATCGACTATGGTTTCTATGGCACTAAAAAAAGTAGTTAGACCTCAGAATACAAATCTGACATCTGTTGTGAGAAACGTTAAAAGTTTCGTGTCGTACTTGGACACGCGAAAAGTAAAATATTTGAATTGGACCATTTTTTCGACCAGCGACAAATGGACCAAAACTTTTCACGAGACGCAACTTCAAGGCAGACTAGACATGTAAGTGATTATTAATAATTAATTACTTTGTTTTTTTATTATTACACAACATACAGTTGTGTAACAATGAAATGTACGAGATTTCGCATTTCAAACTTCAGCTGACGTCAAAATTGACGAGACTCGATGTAATATGTGATGGAGAGACAGAAATTCTGTTTTCTAAGTTTTTAAATTTTCTTTTTTATCTAAGTAAAAAATTTATCAAATAAAACTGGATGTGTTTTTACACGTGTGTTTCACTTCATATTTTTTTTTTAGCTTGGGAATTCACTTGAGTATAGCGAAGATGCTGGGTTCCAAAAGTTTATCCTTCATGTCCGTCGAGCCAGATTTAGAGCGTATGGATATATTAGCCGAAATAATTTTGCAAGATCTACGAACCAATCCAAGCAGTTGGATCGAAGAAGTACGTCGACATGAAGCCGAGCTGATCGAATCGTTTTATCTTACCGTCACGGATAAAGAAAAGGTCGGTAATAAAGTAGAAACTCGCAATTGAATCATTTTTAGTTTTTTTTTTCCCAGAAAAGTGTGCGTTAATAAAAACTTGATTATATTATTCCATAAATGCGAACGCGATCTTCGTGAAATAGACATTGCGAATTCTCGAATATTCGAATTTCACGAGAACGTACTGCACGGATACGAAGCCGCCGGCTTTGCTGAATTTTCCTAAGGAATCGAACGGCACGGTCTTGAAGGAGTTGGTGTGCTATCTAGCCAAATCGGTGCAAACGAATCTGGAATTGAACGTGACCAACATCGAAATCGAAGAGGCCATTTATAGACAGAGGAGATTTAATTGGACGTCGTTCAATGAGAAGACAATCGAAATTTATGAGTACATCGATTCTTTGGTGCATCAAAAGGATCAGCAGTATGATTTGAAGAAATTAGAGAAGCTGAAGCAGAATTTCAAGATTTCATGGACGATAGACTTGACAATAAAAGATATATGGGAGATCAGGTATATAAGAAATATTTTTGATATAGGATAAATCCGGATAAGATGGCCACAGTTTTCTTTAAATACAAAAAACAGACCTTTATTTTTGTTATTTTTTAATATTGTTTTTTTATTTTACTTTACTGAAGCTCAAAGTAATAATAACTATCGAAATAAAAGAGAAAATACTTAACAGAAATGTAATATTATATAAAATATTAAAATGTACGCATTGGCCATCTTACCCAACTTTTAAGGGAAAGATGGCCATACATGTTTTTTTTTGTAAAAGATATAAATAAAACTTATAATTATGTAATTTAATTAAATTAATTTAATATTTAGTAATTATATGTTAAATATAATATATTTATTGTACGTAAAAGATTATTACATATTGTTGTTAATGTTTTCATGAATAGTATTTTTTTAATTATGAAATGCAACTTTATGTGAACTGTAAAAACAATAAGCAAAAAAAAAACATTTTTATTTCGATGATTAAATACATTGTAGATTATACTAGTTATAAAAAAATATGTATAATTTTTTTTAAAAAATGGGCCATCTTTCCCGAAGTGTGAGGAAAAGATAACATAGTATTTATAAATAAATAATGAAAATGAAAATACACACACACACACACACACAAATTATTGGTTACATTATAATTTATGTGCCTTTATTATATATGTAATATTGATTACGGCAGTTTAACTGTGTAATTTATTCAACGTTACAGCAGTTTTTGATGGACATACGTAAAACTTTGCAGGCAATCGAAAGTAAAAACATTTATATAATTTTCACAATATTGTTATTTTAAATAATGTACGCACATAAACTACTGTAAATACTGATTATCTTTAAGAATGGTTACAAAAATGCACTATTAAACAATTATTGGTGAAATTACAGTCTATGGCCATCTTTTCCGTATGGGGCTATAATATCTCTATTTACTCTATAACAGTTTATTATTTCGAATTTCTTTAAGAACAAGTTTATAATAATCATAAAATTAATAGCTACGATTCTAGAAAATGATTACTGAATTACATTTGGCGATACATTATTTATATGTCTGCAGCGTAGGTATACTCTGCAAGATCTTTGATGTGATGGAAAGCCCATTGTTCGGAATTCAAGCCAAACAAAACTGGAAAAACATTTACGGTCTCGCTTGGGCAACGTCGGTAATTTTCGACAATATCGAGAAAATTGTCGATCAGATTCAAAAGAACGATCACGTGGCGAGACTTTCCGACGTTCTGCAGGAAATGCCACAGACTGAGATACTCGTCGGCTCTTTTCTTCGAAATTTATCACCGATTATTCTTGATATAGTTGACATGATAACTTTAAAACCAGTGGCTCTCGTAAGAAAAGTTTTCAAATTTATCAATTTCTCTTCTAAATATCTCGTTTTTTCTCTCTTTGTCCTATAAAATACATTCCGATGAATTACTGTTGTAGATATCAGTCATCGACGATTACAAACAACGTGAAATAATGTGGCCGTGCATTATGAATGAGAGTATTGGCACCGCGCTGGAATTAAGAAACGGAAGTCGCGAAGTCATGCGTGAGATCGAAAGAATAACTTGTAATCCGAGTCTTTTTATTAAAGAGTGGAAGGAACAGCCAGTTTTGATGAGAGTTCGAAAAATTGTGAGTACATATATATATATATATATATACATGTATGTATTTATTTATTTATGTGTATTTTAAGTATATGAACAATGAATTTTGGCTATTGAAGCAATAACACTGTTGTTAGAGTGTATACATTTAAATCCGTTTAATAAGCAATTAAATTAGCATGAACGCTTTCGACCTTGTATTAGGTCCTTTTCAAATGCATTTAAATTATATTAGATAAAATAGGTCGCTCAATGTTGTGATCGTGGATTTCATGCTAATTTAATTGTTTATTAAACGGATTTAAATGTATACACTCTAACAACAGTGTTATTGCTTCAATAGCCAAAATTCATTGTTCTTTGAAAATTCTTGAAGCTTCATACAATCATCTTTACATATTTAAGTATATGTGTGTGCGCTAAAATAAAATATCAAAACAATAATATATAATATATAATTAGCAAAATACAGTGTTATGCAAACACAATCAATTATGAAAATTACTAATCGCTTTAAATATTAATAACATCAACGTGTAGTTCGAGCACGACGAAAATGTAGATTTACCACCATTCAATTGGACTTTGGGCTATATCAAATTTCGACGACTAGTAGCAAAGTTTGACGTTCTGATAAACGACGCGAAAGACATTGTTCTGGCGGAAGAACCAAAGTTGGCGAAGTATTTGAAGACAATTATTACAGAGGCGGATAACATTATCGAAGAAAGAGAGCCAGGCATGAGAAACGACTGGAAGTAAGAATTGAATTTCAGTCAGCTATGCAAAATTATTTTTCTATATTTTACACGATTTACATAAACGACAGAAAGAGAGAGAAAAGAGGATATTATTAAAAAAATTGATTTTCAGAACATCTATGGATCACATTGATCTGGAAATCGATAAAGCTGTCAAGGTTTTTGGTAGTGATATTTACACAAATGAAATTTGGAAAAATTCTCGAACTGGTTCTTCGAAATCAATAGACATCATTGATCGCGCTCTTGTCCTTTTAAAATTTCTTTCTAACATCATTCACAAAGGTGCACGTGCCGCGATTAATACACTGAAAAACGGTAAAAATAGATTTGAGCAATATTAATTGGAACAAAAAACAATTATGTTAATAAATTATTATAATTATGGCGATTTTTACTTTTTCATGATATATATATATATATATATATATATATTGCAATGTTTTCAGGCAATGGAAAAATCGCTTTATTATCCTTGTTGGGATTCGACAGCGCGTCTCCTGTAACCATTTTTCACGATCAACTCCCTTATATCCTGTCAACGTTGGTGAATGGGATATCCGATCCTGTGATCGACGATCGAATCGTCACGTCGTTGAAAAGTAACGTTACGATCACGTGCTCAATGATGTTCGATTGGTTGTCGGAAGCTAGAGTTGGTCTGAGCGAAGAAGACTACAGAACTCTGAAAAATTTCACTTGCGATCTCGACCCTGAAAACTTTAACGTTTACACTGATCTGTACATGGCGGAAACGACAATATGGCAGAGACCCGTCAACAAGTACCGATCTTATGTAGCTTCGATGGTCGGTGATCTGTACGATCTTGCGAAAGCTGTCAGCCGAACAATAAATAACGATGTAGTCATCGAACCGCTTTTCTCGAAAAGATATTTGGAACATTTGCTGCGGGCGATAAGGGATACTTTGGAAGTCAAACAAGCAGAGAGCACTTTTCACAATGTAAATATGTTTCGTTTCCATAATTCTAATTTTTTATAATATATGTTTTATAATATATAATTCACTTTTTATATTAATACTTATTAGTTTTATATATTTTTTCAGTTTTTCCACGCACAAACACATATCAATAAAAAATTTACAAGATAAAAATGTAAAGAAAATTTGTAGAAAATTTTATAACCGTGACAATTTTTTTTTTTTCAGAACCTGAAGCTGGGTGAAGAATGGTCGAATTACAGATTGGCAGTTGAGGGATTGTCGGAAATTTTAATACATATTAGCAATGCGTTGAAAACTGTCGAGATAAATAATTATAGTTTAGAGACTTGGGAATTGGCGGATAACTACAATACACGCCAAATACTAAAGATTTTAGAATCTCATCCCGAAGAAGCTATCGCACTTGTTGCTACTCTTAGCACGCTCAATTCGACAACTGGCATATTTCTACCCTTCAAGGATCTTAGAAGGACTATGTGCACTCTTCACTTTAATTCTGATTATTGGTCCACGCCGAATAGAACGAATTTTCTACGGGAACTTTGCTCGTTTGATGCTTATCAATTGTTGAAATTTGCCACGAGCGAAGAATATTACGTACGTGCGAAAAAATCGAAATTTAAAAAAAGCATTTGATTTAATAAAACAAGTATCTTAAATGCGTATCTTTTTTCTCTCTCTATTTAAATGTTTTATTTAGTTTTTAATTAAGTTTTTAAATCTTTTTAAATCTTTACATTTGTTTTATTGCAGAACGTTGTCACTGGCCGATCAACTGCTTTTTCGAGATCAACGCCGTTGACTCTGTCGCTAACAAACTTGCTAGACGTCGTGTCAAATGTCTCCAGCACAATGCCGGGATTAAGTCTGAAGTCAAATATTTTCAACGTGACAACGTGGCAGAACTTGTCGAACGAAACGTGGATCATGATCGTGAAAATGGAAAAATCTTGGATTCACCAAAAATCTTTGTGGTACGGATCCACAAATACAGACCATCTTGTCGGTTCTAGTAGAGTGCTTCAGTTGTTAGAAGCGGTAATCGATCTCGCGTCCGGCGGAGATATCTGGCAGAAGCTTCGCGGTATGCACGACGAGACGTCGAAGCTCAAGCCCTTGTTAACTCTCGTAGAGGATACGCCTAATCTCCTTATCACCGCTGTCGACACCTTCGTCTCGTCCGAGAGACTAGATGACTTTATACAGAAGTTGTTCCTCGGTCTGGTGAATCCTTGCGACATCGATCGATACTTGATTCCGCCTGGTTATATGAGGAAGAGAGGTTTACTGTACAGCATCACAAATTTCTGTCAGAAGATTATCATGACCAACCAGAATCTATTGTGGACGGATTTACTACCTTTCAACGAAAAATACAATGTAATATATCTGATTTTTCTTATTTCTTTAAAGAATAACTCACAACTTTACATCTTACACTTTAGACTCTTCTAAATTAATTCGATCAATTTTATATGTTCATAGAATAACTATTATACCGGCAATATGTCAAAAATATCCGTGCAAGAAACGGAATTGTTACATAGGATCCAAGGATTTCAAGCAACTTTAATTCGCGTCTTGTCGGAAGATTTCAAGCAACCAAAGATTCCTACATGGTGGACATCGTTTGAGGAGGGCACCTTAAAGGACTTTGTCGCACAATATAAAAAAAAAGTAGTTATCTTCGATAATCTTAACCAAAGTCATTTAATTTAAATGTTTTGTTCTTATTTATAAATTGTAGATTAAAAAAAAAAAATATTAGATTATTCGTATTAAAACAAAAAATTGCTCTGATCTAAATTTAATTAAATTTAAATTTAAAAATGATCGTACAGGATGTGAAAACTCTGACATATTCGATGGTGAAGAAAATAATTGTAATCTTCAAAAATCTTTTAGAAGTGCAACCTAGTTCCAAGTAAGTGTACAAAAAGAAAGAGACATAGAACATTAGGCAATAATTAATCCTTATTAATAATTTTTTTTTTATTACGTTTCTAGAAATTGTACATGGTGCGTTACACTTCCATTGGAGATTTTAAATTCTCAGTTGATATACCATACTCGTTACTCAAAACTTCTCTGTCAAATGACTCGATTGAATATATCACAAGTACATAATATCTTAATCAACGAGTTTAACTGGAACAAAACAGGCAGCATGGTAAAATAAAACAACTATATAAATCACGCGAGATTGTTGATAATTATTTTATTAATTAAGAAATTTGCTTCTATTAGATTAAAGATTATAGATTCTTCAGTAATAAAAAGACATTGAACGAATTCTTAACCACGTTGGAAACTACTTTCCATTACGTCGCTGATATTATAATCGATTTCCAAAACGAGACGTATCACGATAATACAATGAACTGTTTCTACAAATTTGTCGGCGGTCCTAATTACTCTAGGCCGGGGTTGTAAGTGTAGTTTTTTTTTTTTTTTTTATTTACCGTTGATAATGCGAAGATCAAAGTTTTTTTTCTAACTATTGTCGCTTGTATTCAAGATACGTTACGTTCGTCCTGAGCATTCTCGATATGCTGCAAAAGAACGTCTTTATCCTGGATTCGGCGACTATCCATGAGAACATCAACAATTTGACCAGATTGGCTGATAAGCACGTGCCAATTTGGGAACCGTTAAGTGAAGTAGTGAAGAAATCCGAACGCGCTAACATCAACGCTGCGTTACCAAACGCCACTATCAACGTGAACGCAATACTGAGCAATCTGAATACAAGTTTGTGCCGAACGAAGGTTGACTGTCAAAACGCGACAATTCTGTACGATTTTCTTAGCTCGAAAAGAGCGGCCAAGGTTTTTCGATACGATCCGAAAGCGTCCAAGTATCCTTCTGTGTACGACATATCAAACCAGTTGGCTCGCGGTCTCGACATAGATCTTATAAGTCGGCAGCAACCTTTCTGGCGCTCGCAGGCCGCCTGGGAGCTCACCTGGCTAAAAGAAATCCTCGGTCATCTTTCCACGATCCTCGGGGAGAGTGGAAATCTTCTGGACGTCGCTAGTAAAATTGATTTCGAGGACGTCTCCAATGTTCTCGGAGTTCCCGATCTCGCCGATGGCATAGTCAATATATTAAACGATCACACGATTGACAAACTGTTCGATGGAATGAAGGAACTTCTCGAGGACGTAGAGCCCTTTATGAGTGATTCCCAAGTAATCAACGATTTGTACAGCATGATCACGGCGTTGGAGTCGATGGAGATTTTTAAGAATTTGGGACTGCTGGACATGAAATATGTCGTCAGAGAAATGTTCGACAATTGGGACGTAGTGAGAACGTTCCTGATTAATAAAATCGGCATTACGAACGATGTTGCGAGCACTTTGGCCCAGGCCAAGATAGACATGATTTCGGTCTTCATGAAAGAACGGGGCGTTATCAGCTTGAAAGATACAATTTGTTCAGCGGAGAAACTTGGAGATATGTTGTCGTTGAACAACGATCTTGTGACCGCCGAAGAAGTCAGTTCCGCGCTCTGTAAACTGGACGACTCGCAGACGCAAAACATCACCATCACGTTGATGAAGAACTTGAATTTCGATTATATCTTCAAAAATTTAATGAGCGCCAACGTAAAGAACATCCTGGCCAATGCAAATTTAACAGAGGCGGAAGGAAAACTTGTGCTGGACAATCTCGGCGTCGCCTCTGAACTACTTCCATTTTTCAAGGATAAATTAGCTTCGAGATTTTCTTCGGGAAATGAAACGGAAGAAGACGATGCGATGGAAGAGACGGAAGGAACGACGTCCAGTTCTCAATTTTTAAAGGATTCCAGTCAAATGCTTTGCGGTAAAACGCTAATTCAAGACAATGGACAATTTTATAAAATTATATCCAGTTTGAAGGACAGCAATAAAGCGTATGATAAAAAAGAACTTGATTCTCTGCCGACCGATTTCTGTAGAGAAACGTACAAAAGTGTGCTCGGCATGCCGGGTGGAAAGATCATTTGGTCGTACGTCAAACCTCTATTACGCGGTCAAATTCTTTACGCGCCCAACACCACCGCGATTTCCGAAGTTATGGCGCTGGCGAACGAAACTTTCGTGCAAATGGAACACTTCAGCGTGTTGATGAATAGTTTCGAGAAGACCCTTAACTCCCTGGCTAGTCTCTCGGAGATGGGCGATAGTTTAAAGGAGTTACAAAGTATTTTGTCCTCGGACGTCATGAAAGTGGCGATCAAATCTATGGGCGGTGGCGATTTTGAAGGTATATTGCGAATATCTAATCTCTTTTGAAAATTCTTCTTTATTTAAAGAGACACATAATTTTACGGAAATTTACAAAGTTTGATTATTTTTAATTAATTCGTTTATTGTTACGCGCAGGTGATTTTTCCGATCTAAATCTCAGCGAGATCGCGTGGCGTCTGAAAAAATCAAAAAAGCTGATTTCGATGATCGGTACGCTGAACGACATGATGGGATGCGTGCTGGTGAACAGAACGATAGGATTCTCCACCGAAGAGGAACTGGAGGAAGCAGCTAGCCGGTTAACCGACACAAACGAGTTCCTGGCCGGAGTCATTTTTCTAAATGACGCTTCTTCGCATCGATCGAGAAGATCATTGGAGCACGAGTTACCGGACAATATAACTTATAAGATTCGTATGGACGTGGACTACGTGCCGTCGACTAGACGACTAAAGACTCAATTTTGGATTCCCGGACCGGAAAGCAGCTTCATCGAACATCTCAGATATCTTCGAGGATTCGTGCAACTTCAGGATTCTGTCGATCGCGCGATCATAAGAGTAAAGGCTCGAAGAGATTTCACCTGGAAAACTCTTACGCAACAAATGCCGTATCCATGTTGGAAATTTGCGCCGTGAGTACGATTACAATAAGAAAAAAAAAAAAAAAAAAAAACAATTTTATGTATTTCGCGTGACAAAAATATCAACAAAATCTCAAGTCAAGAACAAGAAAGAAAAGACTTTTTCACAGAAGATTGCATGTCGTTAATTCTCTGTGTAATTAAACATTTTATTTTATTTTTAAATTATAAAATTCGCTCGCAATATTAACAATAAGTAAGTAAGTATAGAAAAATATAACAAGATCTGTTTCGAGCTTTTAATGGATCTTAAAGTTTATTTAAACAAAAAGCATATAAAACGCAGTAAAACGCAAATGAAAAACAAATAAAATTAAGAGATGACAAACGTTTCGGCCCTTACTTGAGCTTTCTTCAGTGTATAAATATAAATGTAAATATAAAAATAAATATAAATAATCACGTCATATTACAAGGTTCGCAAAATTACAAGAAAATTGAAGAAAAAATGATAGATCTTACATTAGAAGTCCGTAGTAGTTGTATAAAGTTTGACTTCATATTCAAAGTCAAGATCAAACGATCGAAACAGACCTTGTTATATTTTTCTATACTTACTTACTTATCTTATTTTTATTGTATTAGAGAAAATTAAATTTTATACAGATTCCAAACGACGCTGTATGAGTCTCAAGGGGTGCAGGTTTGCTTCTTCTTCGCGTTGATGATGTGCGTTGGATCGGCTGTCCGGCATATTGTTTGGGAGAGAGAGTCGCAGAATTCGATGGTATAATTATGATAAACAAAAAAATTAACATTTATATTGTAATTTATTCAAAATTTTAATTTTCAAATCTCAATTTTTTATTGCACTTGTTTGCAATATTAATTTTTTTCAGGTGATGAGCGTGATGGGATTGAAACCTTGGCGAAACACTCTTGCTTGGTTCATCACTTCGTTCGTGGAACTTTCGATCGTAATGATTTCCATTGCCCTGATTCTATTGGTCGGAAAAATTTTTCCGCGATCGGATCCTTTGTTGATACTTATTTTGCTTTTTGATTACATTTTCTCCATAGTAACCTTCTGGTACGTAATCTCTTTAAATCTCCTCGCAGTCATATATTCGGACATACAAATTACATATACTGCTACGGAGTTTAACCGCTGTAAATCTTAATTACATTCTAGCTACATGATCTCGACGATGTTCAGCTCCGCCAGTCTCGCCGCAGTTACCACGGTTGTCATGTTCCTGTTAACTTACATGCCGTACGTTATTGTTATCGCTATGGAAGCTGTATTCGGACTTGGTTACAAGCTTTTAATTGTGAGTTAAACTCAAGCAATTTAAAATTCACTTTTACTCTCAGCAAAATATATATAAAGAAAATTTTATTAAAAGTATTGCAATTAAATTAACGAACAAAAAATATTTAAATAAAATTCGAAACGATTAATTACCCGGGAAAAAATGGATTAGATCTAACTTAAATTTAGAGATAAAAAAAATGGAAAAATAGATCTAATTAGATCCAAATTAAATCTAAATAGATATAACGTAGATCTAAATAAATATAAGTAGATCTATTAAATTTACACTTTTGTTATTAAATCTACTTTAGATCTACTCAGATCTACTATATTAAAACTACTCAGATTTACTTAGATTTAAGCAGATCTGAACAGATCTGAGGTGATCTAATATAATAGATCTGAACAGATCAAAAGTAGATCTAATAATAAATAAAAGTGTAAATTTACATAGATTTACTTGTATCTATTTAGATTTACTTTATATTTATTTAAATCTACTTTATTTAGATTTAATTTAGATCTAATTATAGATCTATTTTTCTATTTTTTTTTATCTCAGATTTAAATTAGATCTAATTCATTTTTTCTCGAGTAGATAAAACAGTAAACAGACATTTCTCACGTGATGCAAATCCAGCATCTTATATAAACTTACGAATTGAAGTTTCAACATTCATGTGTAAAATTTACAAAAAAAAATATGTATATATATATATATATATATTTATTTATTTATTTTGCACGAGCATAAACTCTCATTGACCGGTTAAATTTTCCGTTGTTAGTTTTAAAATTCGATACGTTCAATTATATTGTAAAAAGCATTGCAAAATATATTTTTTAGTGTCTGAGCATGTCTACTAGCTTCTGCTACGGGTGTCTCTACGCCGTGCGAAAAGAAGTTCAAGGCACCGGTCTTACTTGGGCACACGTGTGGGAAGAATCGAGTCCTGGCGATCCAATGTCCTTGGGATTGGTATTACTGATGATCGCGTTCGACGGTTGTCTGTACGCCGCGATTGGCTACTTCGTAGCAAGATACACCAATTCAGGTATACATTTGGAACAATCCACTCTGTCGTTCTTTTGAAAAAAATTAATTTTCTGGTGGAGGTGTTTAGAGCGATCAATAATTAGAAATTGGCTAATTACTGACACTATTTTCTTCACAGTTTTTCATATGACACCACTCGTGATTGATTGATACTCACGGATATAATTATTTTTCTTAACTTTGACAACGAAAAACATTTTCACATGTTTTTTTTTTTTTTTTATCTTTTATCGGGGAAATGGTATTTCAGAATTATATCTTTGTCTATATCTATGTGCGTCTCCACTTTTATATTACAGCTCGTTTATTTAACAATTACTAAAACCAAAATAAGACCTGTGCGGTGGAATAATATATTATAATTTTGTTAATACAATACAACGTTAACACACATTTCCTCCGCGAGGTTCTTGCACACAAAACGTGCGATAGTACCGTTTTGTTACGTGGTGATGTCACAATTTCACAAAACTTTTCACACACACGTACATCTCTTACATAATACTCTCACTATCTTCTGTGTATAATCACGAGATTCTACGAGAAAAAAGTCCACGAGGGCGAACTCTACGTGACGAGCGCTTATAAGAGCGCGATTGTCGTTTAAGAGAAGTCGTTTGAGGAAACCTGGTGAGTTATCAGCAAAACGGACGAGCATTACCGATAATTTTCCAGGCAAGGGCTTTCACGGTTTGAGGTCCCGTAGCTTATGGTGGGCCGATACACGTTCTCTCTATGGCAAACCGAGCTACCTCGCCTTCATCAACAACCTCTATTTCACTAACGACGTTCTCCACCCTTCAGCCACTTGCCAAGGTATCGCACTCACTTGCCGCGCAACACGCATGTCACGAAAGTTTATTTATTTTCCGGCTTGCTTTCTCACGTTCGCTTTCTCGTCGACGAAGATACTCGCACAGCCTGTGGCATGAGCACCAAAGGATAAAGAGAACGTCTATGTGATAAACTTCACATGAAACTGGATTAAACTTTGTTCTTTGAAATTTTGTTTGCCAAACTTTGACAAACTTATGTCAAAATTCTATCAAATTCTTCCTCCAACACATTTCATCGATCTCCTAAAAAAAAAAAGTGGTTTTTGTTGGAGTTCTGTGTTGCGACATACTCTTTGTTCTCTTTATTTTTGCTAAAAAAAGAAAAAAAAGTACGAATTTTGGACTTTCATGCTTTTGCACGTTTTGTTGCAATCTCTCATTTTAATGTCGAACTCGATGCTCGAGCACGTAAATGTACAAACTGTATACGAGCGTGTTAACAAATGCTTCGTATTTTTGGTTTTAGGCGTCTTTTTCAATTATTTTATTATATTTCCGCAAAAAATTGCAAAAAAAATATACTCTTTTCAATTATATCGCGTACGATAGTTTTTCACGGTATTTGCAAAGCATGGATTTCGCACGGGTCGCATAAAAAACCTAACAATTTGAATCAAGGTTGAAGAGAAAAAACTATATATCTAAAAAATCAATATTTTTATGAGATTATATCAGAGTTGTATTTGATGTTTTTGTATTTATTGTGGATACAAAGATTGCTGCTTATAATTTAAAAAAATTTGCAAACTTGCTTTTCTCTAAAGGCGCAGCTATAAAAAAAAATTGGTAAGAGCATGCTTTCGACTACGCAAGTGTTTTCGGCGTGGATTCGATATCAGACTAAAACTATTATTTGTTGCTAAATATACAGACGACGAAAGCGACGTTAGCAGTCTGACGGTCACCGAGAAGCAAATCGGGGTGAAATTCGACGGTATTAGAAAAGTCTATCACACAGAACAGGGTGATGTCGTCGCCGTGGAGGATTTCAATTTGAAGCTCTGTGAGAACGAGGTGACGAGCCTACTCGGAAGAAACGGCGCTGGAAAAACTACCATTATGTATGCTAACCGTTTTTTAAGTCGCGATTGTTTAAACTTGTTAAATAATCAATTTTACAATTTGGCAATTGTTTTTGTTTTGTTTTTTTGTTATTTTATACAGTAAAATGTTAACGGGAATGGTTGCACCGACCAGCGGCGAGATTTGGCTCAACGGCGAGGAAGGTTTTAAACCCGAAATAGGAGTGTGTCCTCAAGACAACGTACTAATCGGAACATTAACACCGAGGGAACATATGATTTTTTACTGGAAACTCAAGAAACCTAGCGACAATAACATTGATATGCAGAGAAACGTTAACGAGTAAAATTATTTATTATTTTCTCGCATAAATGTAAAAACACTTCATTTTCCGATAGTTTGTGAAAAAAAATTAAATTCTAATTTTTTTTTTTTTAATCAAAATCCACGAGCAAGTGTTTTTGTTCTGTCAGAATGTTGGCTTCTTTGGAACTCGGACGCCAGGAACTTGAGCCTGTGTCGCGCTTATCGGGTGGCACGCGACGTCGGCTTTGCGTGGCCCTGGCTTTTCTGGGTTCACCGCGACTGGTCATTCTGGACGAACCCGGTGCCGGTGTGGATCCTGCGGCTAGACGGCGAATTTGGCGTTTGATAGATCAACACAGGATCGGCAGGACCGTGCTCTTGTCGACTCACCATCTTGACGAGGCCGACATGCTGAGTGACACAGTTGTGGTGATGCATAAAGGGAAGATCTTGTGCACCGGTTCGCCGCTCTCTCTAAAAATGACTCACGGCCGAGGATACCGACTGAACGTATCCTTCTCGCCGGATTACTATGTCAACGGCGGTGATACGGAAAAAGAAATCGGAAGTACGATAGAGAAAAAGAACCTGAAGGATCTTCGTGGCATCATTGAGGAAATTGTGCCAAACGCCACGATAAATGAAGCGTCCGAATCAGAAGTCACCGTCGCTTTGCCATTTCAGGCAAAAAATGGCATGAACAATGAGTAAATATCGAATGTTCATTGTTATCAATTCAAGCATGTCGCTAAACAATTATTTTCAGGAAACGAAGAGAGTTTCGGTTCTAGAAGTTTAAAACTAACAATTGTGGATTATTTTTATTAATTTTCCTCTATTAGTTGATTAGGATAAAATTGAGTTAGACGAAATTGAATCTTAAACTCGACAGTTTATTTGTGAAGTATCTTGCTTTATTCTCGGTCTGTATATGACGACGTCCTACGAGCGACTGTCTCGTTTTTGAAAATATAAATCTTAGTTTTAACCTACACGGCTACACACGGACATACATACACACTCATATCACGCAAACAACCTCGCGCTCGTCTTATCTGCTTTAACGTGCATGATTTTACAATTTCATTTCTACACAATATACAATTTCGAACATCCAGCGTAAGGCTTCCAATGACCGTCAAATTATTGTTATTTTTAGGAAATTGAGAAAATTTGAGATTTTTAATACACTACATCGTACATATTTTTTTTCCTCGCGTGTGTGCGTGTAAAATGTGTGCACACATATCGCACAGCTTTTGCAAATTTACGCTGCAAGAAGTTTAACTTTAAGAGGTTGAAAATGTTAAAAATAAAATCTCTACTTATTTCGTCACAATTTGAGAAGCTAACTCTCCAAATGTTTGTAATTCACTATGCTTCTCAAATATGTTTCAAGCTTTGCGATTTGTTTTTTTTTTTTTTTTTTTGGAAGAAATTGTTACATGTTTTCAAGCAAACTTGGTCAAAATATCCGGATATTATGTGTTTGACTAAAGCCAAGATTGTTGTTTCAGCATCGCGCAAATAGCGAAGGCGCTGGAAGACAATCATAAGCTCTTGGGATTCTCACACTTCTCATTGGAGTGCGACACGTTAGAAAGGGTCTTCTTGGATCTTTGCGCGCGAGCAGACAACGGATCGAGCATTATCAAAGGAAGTCAAGACAGCGTCGCCAGCATAGAGCAAATTGGTGAGAAGCGTTTCATGTGTGCATAATATCTGTCTATCGAAAACAAAACTTTGTGACTTTTTAAACAAAGTAAATAATATAAAAATTGTTTTTTTTTTCGATAAATACAAAAATAGCTTTTTACATTTATGAATCGACAAGTATGTCGACAAAACAAAGAGTCGCACAGAGAAACAGCGCAATAATAATATAGTTAATTGTCACGTTATTATTTACAGCTATGCCACTTCAAATTAATTATCTGAAATTACCTTGACAAAGGTGTGTTGTTTATTACAAACAAATGGCTTTTCCGTTTTATAAATAAATAGGTTTAAATTTAATTGGCTTTTTCAATCAACAATATGCGCGAATGTAAATATGGAAATGTGAAAATGATGAAAAGAAAATGAAAATATACGCACAGGTATTTCCATTCCGGATGACGACGTCGATCTAATTTCTACGGATACAATATTGAAACCCTCGATGATCCGACAAATGAGAGCCATGATAAAGAAGAGGCTGTGGCATTTCGCGAGAGACTGGAGAACGCCGTTGGCCGCGCTCATTTTACCGACCATGTTTGTCGCGGTCGCCATGGGATTTTCTTTAATACGGCCGCCGTCCGAGGACGAACCGGCTCTCAACCTGTCTCCCAAACTTTATAACACTCATCCGACTTACTTTTACAGGTAGGGTAAGAAGAGAAAAATTACGATTTTAATAAAAAAAAAAAAAAAAGAGAAAGTAAAGAATAAAGCAAAAAAATGGTAATATTAATTCGTCACTCCCTACGTATAATCCCGTAACTCCAAAACGCAAATTTTAGAGGAGAGCAGTTTAAAAGTATAAAGCTTCATATGTTTCCCTATAGTTAGGGATCTTTCGGTTTCAAATTTGGACCTTATTTATGAATTTTTTTTTTAAATATTTGGTGACTATAAAGAACATGACTTTTTAAGTGTCATTATGCAATAAACTGAAAATCCCATATGTGACACTTATGTAATTATACGTAGGGAGTGACGAATTGTGAACGTGTCAATATTATGCGTATCTTAGCTTGGATTTTTGTGAAACATAAATTTAAGTCGAATTATGTATTATTGGAGTAAATATTTCTCACAATTAGTGATAAATAGAGACTCTCTCAGGCTTTATAAGTCTTTTAAACTAATAATATATGAATATGACATGAAGGGCCGTTCGCAGGATGTTGTGCGTGGATGTGCTTAAATATATATACATATATGTATACATATATGTATATATACTACGAAATAATTTTTTTCCTCCATATAGGATGCTGGATTTGCATCACATATTATTTTGTAGTATATATGTGTATTATTTCGTAGTATATATGTGTATACATATATATATATATTTAAGCACATCCTGCGAACGGCTCTTCATGTCCTTATATTCATATATTATTAGTTTAAATATTTCTCTTTCTCTCTCTCAACTCTAACTTGATAATTTTACATTTCTCTTTCTGTTGCAGTGTCGACGGCAGCAACGATCCCTTCCTGCAGCACGTGTCAATGCAGCTCCATGATCGTTTCGGAGATGATTACGCTGGCGCTTGGCAAACTTTACCCAATGTACGAACACCAAATCAATATCGCGAAAAGTTTTTATTCAAGAATTGCCACAAATTCTCGTAATTGTATTCGTTGATGAATAATTTACAGGATACCGGAACTTGCGAGTGTTTGGACGGACAGCAAACTTGCCGAGGTGTTTCCAAAGCTGTGGAAGGTCTTCTTCAAACTCTACCCGGTCGGCCGACTCTGGATTGGATCGTTTCGACGCATCAAGAATACATAGAGAAACGGTTGAGTTTACGTTCTCGTGGCGAACGAGTTTAAGTAGAGATTAATTGAAATTTCTTCAAGTTTCTCGAACGCAAACAATGACTTTGCAGATACGGCGGCTGGTCTCTGTCGCACTGGAAAGAAGATCCTCTTTTTGTTGTTTGGTACAATAACAAGGGTCACCACTCTCTGCCGTCGTATCTGAACGCTCTCAACGAGGCGATCCTGCGAGCATCCGGAGTGCAAGGGCACTTAACTACTCTCAATCACCCCTTGAAATTATCGAGCGATCAGCTAAACCGAACTACATTGTAAGCATCGAATGTAACATCGCGATATAAATCCGTAATTACGGAAAATCATGAACAAACGTTTCTCTTATTGACAGAAATTAATTAGAACAAAATTTTTTTGTACACGCGCGTAAGAAGATTTATTTTTATGTGTAAAAAAAATTGCGAAACACTGAAGAATTTGCAACAACGGATGAGCGATGTTCGCGCGTTGTTTTTCAAACTTTCAAAAAAAGTCTTTACTAAAAAAAAAAAAAACAAATTGACGCGCGAAACAGATCGTGCCGACGTATACACAGATGTTTCGTTTGCACACAACAAACGTATAATATGATTTCTGCGTTTGCAGATTGCAACATGTGGCGGACGTCGGCGTGGCGTTAGTGCTTTTGATAGCGTTTAGTCTGGTCGGAGCTCAGGGAGCAAAGGAATTAGTCAGAGAACGATTGTCACAGGAAAAGAGAATACTGTTCTTGGCCGGGGTTCATCCCGTCACGTATTGGACAACAGTTCTAATTTGGGATTTCATAGTGAGTTATTGACGGAAAAAAAAAAAAAAAAAAAAAAAATAAGAGATGTGTGCGATTTGAAATATTTTGATACATCCGATATTACTTATCGCAGGTATTTAGCTGCGCTATTGGCCTCGCGATCGTTGTTTTCGAAATCTTCGGTTTGTCAGCTTACGTTGCGAAGGACAATCTTCCCGGAGTCTGTCTCTTATTGTTCCTATTTGCGTAAGTGTTCGTTATTAATTATACGTTTGATTACAAATTGATATAAAAAAAACAAATATTATATACTATACTTTTTTTTATACATGTACGTTTTTTTTTAATCGCCGATATCTTTTGATATCTTTTTTTTTGTGTAGATGGGCGGCGATACCGTTTTCACATCTTGCCGAAAAAGCGTTTGACGACTCGAGTTTGTCCAACATGGTGCTATTCTGCGTGAATACTTTTATAGGCGTGGCTTGTCTGGCGACCATTTTGGTGCTCGATATTCTTGGCAAATCGAAAACTTCCGAAGACGTGAGAAACATTCTCCATTACATTTTAATGATCTTTCCGCAATACACTCTCGGCGACGCGTTGGTCGAGATATCGAGAAACGACATCACTTCCGAATTGCTTCAAAGATTTCACATGGACACTTACAAATCTCCGCTCAGCTGGGACCTTCTCGGTCTTCATTTTATTTTTCTCACTGCAATCGGCGCAATTTTGTTCGCGCTGAATCTAATGATCGAGTGCCGAGTCTTGCCCGACGTGAGAAAACAGAAAATCGGTTACGAGGTCGTGCAAGAAGACGAGGACGTTGCCAGAGAAAGACTAAGAATCGAGGCCGGCATGGCCGACGACACCTTGAAGACGATAAAACTCAGAAAGGAATACAGCAGCGTGTACGGGACGAATGTGGCCGTACAAAATTTAAGCCTCGGTGTACAGGCGGGAAGTTGCTTCGGTCTCTTAGGGGTGAACGGCGCGGGAAAGAGCACAACATTCAAAATGCTGACGACCGAAATTATTCCCACAGCCGGAAAGATTATTTTGAACGGTCAAGAAATTGGCGCTGGACCGCTGTGCAACGGCCAAGTTGGTTATTGCCCTCAGAGCGACGCCCTGGACGGATTTCTCACTCCTCACCAGTGTCTGACGATTCACGGCGAGGTCTGTGGATTGAACAATGTCCCTAAGGTGGGTGAAGCGAGAAACATTGTGAAAAATTGTGTAAAAGTTTTATTGCACAAAATGAAAGAGCGGGAACTTTGTTTGCGGAAACTTAAAAAAAAACAAAAAAAAACAATAGAGTGAGACAAGAATTTGTTAATTAAAGCTACTGATTTTTTTAGTTAACTTATATTAAGTCGTGATATTCGTATTTTAACAAACATTGTGACAAATATTCTTGGAAATTCTTGGAACGAACATTTGCTCGCAGAACTTAACTCAAAGTTACCGGTTTGGTTAAGAGTCGAGTTTGCGGAACACAAAAGGTTGAGATCGTTTACTATTTCAGGTCGTCGAGACAATGCTGAAGAGATTCGATCTGCTCAAGTATGCTCATCGAAGAGTCGATAGTCTTAGCGGCGGTAACAAAAGGAAATTATGTGCTGCTATAAGCGTAATGGCGCCTGTCGCGATTGTTCTTATGGACGAACCTACTAGGTACTTTTTATCTTAAACAATTTTATATATACATTATTATATTCATATTATACTTTGGAGAATTAAATAATGCTAAATTATTTGTTAATTGAAAAAAGCGTGAATCATAAGTCTCAAATTACAATGTGTTTATATATAAACAGTTTAACACTTGATCTGATATTTGATGCTTTCGCGGTGTGTAGTATTAACATACAAGGATGTTTTTTCGGGTCTGAACCGCGTTAGTGTCATTTTTATACCGACGTTTCGTGAACATTACAGCTCACTCCCTACGTATAATTACATAAGTGTCACATACGGGATTTTCAGTTTATTGCATAATGACACTTAGAAAGTCATGTTCTATATGGTCACCAAATATTAAAAAAAATATTTATAAGTAAGGTAAAAATTTAAAATCGAAAGATTCCTTAACTAGAGAAACTATATGAAGCTTTAAGCTTTTAAACTGCTCTTCTCTAAAATTTGCGTTTTGTAGTTACGGGATAATACGTAGGGAGTGACAACTTCATCAGGGTTTAAAGAGCAGCCTGATACCAGAAAAAAAACATCTTTGTATAGTTTAACACTTGGTTTCAATTAAAATAATATTTTTCAAAACAAAAAAAAAATAAATAAAAATTTAGTAAACTATGTATAATTTTATTAATGTCGTTGAGGTTTCGAAGATCGTCCGTTGAGTTCGACATTTTTTTATTTGATAAAAAACTTAGTAATTGTACATACGTATTTATAGTTTTGAATTAAAATCGATATTTTCTCACACGTCATATTAGCGGAATGGATCCCGCCACGAAAAACCTCGTGGCCAAGACCGTGAAACGCGTGACGAGGAAGCAGACGTGCGTAATATTGACTTCGCACAGTGTCGCCGACTGCGAGAGCCTCTGCTCGAGGGTAGGGATTCTTGCTCGAGCCGGTCTCAGGTGTATAGGAACGCCGCAGCATTTGAAGCACAAGTAAGATTACATCGAACTTCCTTTTTCGCGTCTCTTTTACCCCAAGACCGGGATATTTCCCAACAGACTCATAAACCGTGTACAGGAATCTCGACGCTCCTATCAGTTCTGATTTCCCATTGTTGCGACTTCTTTTCCAGAATGTACTCGTGTTTTGTAGCTTAACAAATTCTTCTCAATTGAACACTTTTATCTTTGTTTTCATCTTTTCCCTTCCGTCTTCTGAATAATTTTTTTTTTTTTTTTTCACGAGAGTAGTAAAACACCAGCAATATACAATAGCGGAAACATGAAAATGAAGCCGCGGTCCATTAGAATCCGCTCTCCCGGCGCGACTTAAACTCAAATATTTCTTCGTCAGCAACGCTAAAAGAAAATTTTAATTAGACATCACAGAAGAATTAAATTTAATTAAATTTCAATCTCCTCCTAAGACTATATATATTTGTGTGATTCATGGAATTACATATAATCTCCGATATTTCTCAACAGAGCGCGATAAATCACAAAAATTAACCAATTTCACCGTCGCGGACCGCGTAGTTAACTTTAACGGGGGCGGGTGCTTCGATTGAAATTTGATTATGTACATATTCAGAAAGGACTATTTCTGATTCTCTCGAATATATACTCAACCGATGATCTATACATATATTTGAAATAACGTAGGAATATGTGGAATATCGTAAATACTTAACTTGCTAACATTCGAAAGTATCTCGGGAATGTTCTCGGGAAAAGTATCTCGAAGAATGTCCGTCTCTCACTCCCACCTTATACAAACCGATCTTTTCTTTTCCCGACGACGTCCCGCCATCGAGGACAGAATTTACGATTCGGACTTGCCCGCGCGTTAGCAGCCCATCTTGCAATCCGCTCTTGTGTGTCGCGGGGAGCACGTTGAATGATAAAGAATGGCGAGTGCACTTTGTTACAGTATAGAAAGCACGGTAAAAGCTTATCTGCCGCGTCCTTTGTCCGGGACAAGGTTTGAAATATAGATCCGCGTATCGGACGCTACTAGCAAGTAAATAATCGTAATTCCAAAAATATTGGTAAGATATTTTTTGGTTGTCTTTTTTTTTTCAGATAGCTTTTAACATGTAAAGATTACTGCTTTAATTATTATTAAAAAAAGATTCGGTTTCGAATCGCTTTACGAATGAATTTTTAAACGCGTCGCTCTCTTTTAACATCCGTCACGATATAGAGAGATGCGCAAAGAGAAATGTTTATTTGACTTTTGAAGATTCGGCGAGGGATACGTCGTCTTTCTGAGATTCAGCCAGCCGATTGCCGCCGCGGATCTAAGAAAGGCCATCCTAAAATATCTGCCACAGGCGATGATCTCCTCGAGACAGGCCACAGCTGCTCGACTCTTGCTGCCGCGAAGTCAGGACACGGCGCTCAGCGTGAGTTTCAGCATGGTAAAGCTTCTGGCCGAGGAGCTTAAGGCCACGGACTACACGCTCACGCAAAGCTCGTTGGATCAGGTCAGTGAACCAGATTCAAACGCGATATCGCGTTTCGCGAGATTCTCTCATTCATTTCGATTTCTCAAAGTGCCTCATTTTTTATATCCTGAAACATTTATCATCATATTAATATTAATCGTAAGATTAAATCAGTCGATCTCTGACTCGTATATCAAGAATAAACTTCCCGAGAAAAAATGGATTAGATCTAACTTAAATTTAATGAGATAAAAAAAAAAAAATGGAAAAACAGATCTAATTAGATCCAAATTAAATCTAAATATATATAACGTAGATCTAAATAAATATAAGTAGATCTATTAAATTTACACTTTTGTTATTAAATCTATATAAGATGCTTATATAAGATGCTGGATTTGCATCACGTGAGAAATGTCTGTTTACTGTTTTATCTACTCGAGAAAAAATGAATTAGATCTAATTTAAATCTAATGAGATAAAAAAAAATAGAAAAATAGATCTAATTAGATCTAAATTAAATCTAAATAAAGTAGATTTAAATAAATATAAAGTAAATCTAAATAAATATAAGTAGATCTATGGAAATTTATACACTTTTATTTATTATTAGATCTACTCTTGATCTACTCAGATCTATTATATTAGATCACCTTAGATCTGTTCAAATCTGCTTAAATCTAAGAAAATCTGTAGTAGTTTTAATTATAGTAGATCTAAGTAGATCTAAAGTAGATTTAATAATATATAAAGGTGTAAATTTAATAGATCGGCTTGTATTTATTTGGATCTACTTTATATTTATTTAGATCTACTCTATATCTATTTAGATTTAATTTGGATCTAATTAGATCAATTTTTCCATTTTTTTTATCTTGTTAAATTTAATAATATAATACAGAAAATCCCGCTCGTAAAATTAACAATAAATAATAATTAGAATAACGGTCTCTATCGAGCAACAAAAATAGATCTTATGGTTTATTAAAATAGAATATAAAATATAAAATATAGAATTCACATAAATGTAGTTTTATAGACATTTCGGCCCTTACTTGAGCCCTCTTCAGTATATAAAATCAAATAACGCCATGTCGCAAAGAGGATAACAATATGTTGTAAAAATACACAAATCTTACGTATGGCAGTCCATTTTGATGTAATATTAGACTTCCTGAAAAAGTCAATGTAAGTATAAAGTCCGCACAACTTTCACAATAACAATATAAAACGTTATGATATAAACTCACAAATCAGAAGTCGAAGATCAAATATTGAACAGAGGACAGAGGCAACAGATTATATGTATATACACAAATCCCCACCAACATAATAAAACGAGTAAGTCAGTTAAGTTTAAAATTCGGATGATTTAAGTTTGTCAAGTAAATTGAAATAAGAAAGGTCAAGTAAAAAGTCTGTGTCATTGATTAAATTTAAACCTTGAGTCTGTTCTTTAATATGTATAGTTTCGGAAATCAATCTTTTGTAAAAGTTAGGTTCGTAATCTAAAATTTTTGTATTTTCCCAGTCAAAATTATGATCAAAATCAAGTCTATGTTTTGAAACAACCGACAACTGTGAGGAGGTTTTTTTGATATCATTTTTATGCTCTTTAATGCGTGTTTTAAGTTGCCTCTTAGTCTGACCATAAGATGCACAACAGTTCATACAGGAAATCTTATAAATAATATTACTATGAGAATAATGAGTAATAGTATCCTTGTGTGCTTTAATAATTCTATTAAGCCTGTTGAAACACTTGTAGCCTACAATAACATTCGAATCTTTAAAAGTAAAATTTGTTAAATTTAAGTTAGATCTAATCCATTTTTTTCCGGGTTATATAGCAAACCGATTCGGTTAAATCACATTTAGAGTTCAAGTTTGATCATTTATCGTCTTTCAGAATGCGCGCGTGTATAAACGAAATAGATACGCTACTTAATACGTATATCTTTGGATTTAATATATCGAGTTAATTCTCGTAAACTTCATCGCGGATATCTTACTTTTGCGAACGTCGTAAAGCAGCTTTCGCGCGTTCTTCTCTTTGTAATACGCGCGCACAAGCAAAGGTTTCATCTTCTTGCCCGATGAAAGAACATAAAAGAGAAGCGCAAGCGCTACCTTTTTACGACTATTATGCTCGCTCTTGAAAAAATCGCAGTATTTATTTGCGCGAGACTATCTCTTACGAACAACAACCAACGAAGAGGGAGGATTGCTCCGGGGGTGGCGCAATATTCTAAGGCCTTGTCTTTAGCAGATGATGCACCACCGTTCTGACGCGCTAAGCGCCTCCCTCCTGTCGTCCAAAGACGCGATCTTCGCGTTTTCGTCCCGCCGATCCTGACGGATATTAATGGATCTTCCGCTAGTTCACTTGCATACAGCCTCGCCATGGTTTATAAGCACGCGGAAGGATCGAGGAAACTCGTCCAGGCCGGTTTAAGCCAGGCCGAATTCGCCTATAACGCTTTTCCGGGTAGCTGTAACACGCGCAGCATCCCCGACGCTCTTCCTTCTTCTCTTCCGTCAAAATTATGGTTAATTATCTGCTTAATTTCTATCTCTCTCTCTTTCTCTTTCTCAGTAGTTCAACATCCGAACAACAAAGCTCAAATCTACTCAAAATTCTCAAGTGCAAATTCCGCGATACGCGGTTCCTTTGCATTCGAAACCCCTGCACATCGGGCATTACGACGACGATTGTCTTTCGCATTACTTCAATGCGAAGCGAATTGCGAGCTTCTGTCGCGACGGGAAATGCACGTTGCCGGCTTACGCGAGACGGAGCCGTCGTGTGCCATAGGTGCAAGTCGGAGCACGCCGAAGTTCATTCCGCGCGCATTTGACAAAATTATTCGCCGTAAGCGCATTAGGATGCCGAGCAATTAGACGGCGGCGGTAATTATATATAAAATCGCATAATGTAGCGTCAGTGACCTTTTACATCGCGCGCACGTTTCTGTTATTAAACGTGTGTTTATACGATAACATTTTTTTCGTCAATTTGTTTTTCAAATTTATTTCCGCGACATCTTTTTTATGGAACGACCTCGCACCGAAAAAAGAGAACGGTTAAATACACGCTACTAAGGTTTGTACGAAATTTCTGGGTATAATTTACGTCCTATTTATTTCGCTACTTTTGCAAACTTATGGAGATATAAAGCGTGTTTTCTTCATGAAGCAAAATTCTTTAAAACTGTCGCGCAATTAAGTGACTCGCGCGCTTCAACATACGAGTTATTATAAACGCGGGTCTTTACGCGGCTCACTGAAAAAAGATGAATTTGAGCGCGGAAGATGCACGCGCGCGACGGGGCAAAATTTGCATTTTGCATGTTCGTCTTTCTTACGGCCAAACTTCCGCCGAGCTTTCCGCGACTCTTTGCAAAATTTAACGCGCGCTAAGTGGCCGCATTTACATAAATCGGTTAATAAGAAAATTTTAATTTTGAAATTAATTAAAAAACTTATGAAATTTTCATAGCTCGACGAAGACGACGCGCTGGCTTTAATTAACGCGCTTCTAAACGCTTGTGGGTAAGCAACGATATTGGATTATTAATTGCTTTTGCGGCGCGCGAACTGCGCGCCATGATCAAAATTTGAAAATCGCGTGAAATTCACATTAGCACACACATATAAGATAAACAATTTTGCGCAAAGGCGCGGTGCGCTGTGTATTAGCGCTTAAGCTTGAAAAAAAAAAAAAAATAGCCATTACGACGCATAAAGCTTTTGATGTAATCTCTGTGCTGCTTTTCGTCAAATTTAGTTTTTACATAAAGCAGTCTAGACATAATGAAAAGAAAGTAAAGAATTAAACTTTATAACTAGCGTTATTTTACGCTATATAAAATTTTTACGTTTACACCATTTATGGTTGTTCTCGTCGAATTTTTGTTTGACCTGGAATATAGCGAAATCAATTTCGCGTTAAACCGTTTTGTTAGTTTGTCGTAAAAGAAAAATCGTTTTTTTGTTATCCGCACAGAGATTAAGAATTTATTGCGCTTCATCGAATAATTTAAAAAAAAAAAAAAAACAAAACAAAACAAAAAACAAAAAACAAACGTTGCTCATACGCGATGTAAAGATCGAAGCAACGTGAAAATTAAACTCCGCAACAAATATTGTTTCTTTGATCGCGAATTCAATGAAAAGTCAATAAGAGAGAACGCGACAGAACGCGTATATGTAAATGTTACAATAACTTTATTAACAGTTGGAAAACACTCGTTTCAATTGTGATCGCGCTAAATTGCAGAAGAAATATAACAGCTACGTATCGTATATTAATAAAAAAAAAAAAAAAACGTGCTTTGTTTGATGCGCATTTTGCTGAATCACGCAAGACTATTAAATCGCCAACATACATATTCGAGTGTGGAATAACAATTGCTGCAATTCCACACAAATGTCATTGATTCCATATATAGTCTGCGCATGATTTTTTTCTATTAAATAAACTTTTTGCTTAGATTTTTTATTTTCATCATCTGTCGGTGTTTCTGATCGTGACTTTCGTTGCTTTGTGAATAAAAAGTCATAAATTAATCGCAACGAGAGCAAACTGCAACGCGACAGCTAGTAGATTGTCGGGAATGCAGATTTTACGATCTAAAAAGTGTGCGTGTGTATAGGCCAGCGCTTTCAATTTATTATTCCTACGCGGTTCTACGACGTTCCGAGAACTCGACGGAACTCGAGTCCTTCGAAATGAATCGGCGCTCGAAGAGAGGCGGGAATTGAAATCGCGCGAAGTGATCGATCGGGCGATTCAAAAAAGCGATTTTAATTTTCACGAAAACGAGAAAGATGGAGCGTTTACGTTTTTTTTTATCTCACGCAAACGCGATAGTCATTGTAAATAATTGTTTGCGCTGAAAAAGATTTGACCGACAATTCGATCGAACGAAACAAAAAAAAGATCGCGTTAAAGCTGTAACAAGAACAAATGCTCGCGAATAACGTATCAATTCGCAACGCAGAGTGAACTGAAAACGTGCGAGAAATGCACGAGGAGAACGTTTATATCGAGCGCGATGAATTATGGCAGCTTAATTGATCACTTACACGAACGACGCGAGGGAACGTGTGGGGTAAGAAAAATTTCAGAAAAATTCAGTACTTGAAACGACGCGAAGTGGAATCTCTTATAGAGAATCTTTTTTCTCATCGTGAACAGAATCAGGTCTGCGATAAGTAATATCGTCGATCCATCAGCTCTCGTGACATTTTGCGATTTCCATTCCATAATTGAAAATATCGACGTGTCCGGCATTTACGCCACAAAATTGCATTCGCATTTCACGCTCTCTTAGATTTGTCTACTGCTAATTGTTAATGACAAGAAAGATTTGTTCGTTGTTTTTAAGAGACACTTTTATCCTCTCTCGGAGGGCGTATTTAAATCACTGTATAAATAGAAACCCCTGCGTCACGTGTATTCTCTTTTCTCTCTCTCTCTCTCTCTCTCTCTCTCTCTCTCTCTCTCTCT